GCATGAACCCCACCAAAAATGTGGGACAAATTAAGCCGCCTTATGGGAAAACGGTGAATCTCTTCTCTTCAAGGTATGAAAAATAGACTACAAGAAGAATGGAGTAAGATCCCTATTTCCGATACAAGAAAATTTATACAAAATATGTCAAAATAAAAAAATGATGTTATCAAGCAAAAATGACATTTCGGCAATTATTAATTTTTAATAATCCCTTGTCTTTTTTCTTCGTTTTAAACGTAGCACTAGGTTTAACAGGCGCTTGTTTTTGTCATTCAATTTCTATTTAATAATAAGGTGATGTCACGGCCGAAGATCGTTTAACTTTTTTTTGGAAAATTACGATTATTACCTCAAAAGTGTATCGGAAATGATAAACTTCTCACTCTCCGTCAGCAAAGTCATCTTACTGGTCCACTCAACATATGGCAAAATGTTCCCTTTCCCTATTGTTATCTTCTTGTGATATTTGCGAATGTTGTATAATGAAATGTAAATGTATTTAGGCTGGTAGTACAACAACTTGTAAAAGCATTTTATTTAAATGCAAACGCATTTATATTCTAATCTGCCAAATATTTTAGAGAAGATAGCGGATGTCTTTGCATTCAAAATTTTAAAAAGAAAAGTAAATTTTTGCTAAAAGGAATGAACAAAGAGATTTCTATGAAAAGATGTTGATTGACGGGATCAGGACGAGCTTAGAACAATATTCATTACAATTTTGTAGTTTTTGCATTTTATTTAATCGTTTGTAAAAAAACAAAGCATATTTTAAATAAATCAAATTTTTCCTCGAAATATCCTCGAAAATTTCAAGACTTTTTTTGTCTTTGATAGTATTTTTAACTTAAATCTTTTCCGTAAAGTTGATCTTTCATTATTGGTGTGTATGTGTACCCTGTAATCTATATTAATCTTTTAGATTTTAAAATCGCTTTTTGAGGCAAGCGTAGACTTGAATGACTGGATGAGTTGACAGACAAATGATTAAGCGAATGAACTAGCGATCAATACACTGATTAATGGGCCAATGGGTTTTCTCTTCCACGAATAAAAGAACAGTGAACCGATGGATGGTCAGATAAATGAACAATCAATTGGAAGGAGAAGTAAATGGACGGATGATGGAATCCTGGACGGCGTAAAACCTTCCAACATCCAAATGCAATGGCCATGAATATAAAGATTTCTAAGCATCACAGTTTTACCCCATTTTAAGGTTTGAATGATCAATTTTTCTCTTAGAAATAAAAAAAAAAAAACGGTACAAAACGAAATTTCTTCTTAATAATCACTGTCTATATAATAAATTTCAGGCGCCTTTTTCGCATTTCACATAACCTGAAATGTATTCTTCACAAGAGCAATATTAATGGGTTCAAATTCTATTTGGATTTGAAGAGCTTCCGTTAAGTGTTTTTTTTTTTTCGCTATTAAATGTGTGTTTTCGTGAATTTACAAATAATAATGTAAGAACTTATCCACGCTTCATAAAGTATTCTCAAAGCAAGAAGCTGTAACTAACTTTTTAATCAAATAAAATATGGGTAACGCCAACTGGGAAATAAAATAATGACGACGCAAAAGAGCTAAACAACCAAACAGGATATTTTTACAAATATTCACGCAGTTAAAATTGAAACAAAAAAAAAAAAAAAAAAAAAAAAAAAGAATCCTACACATACGCATAATAACAAATGTTTTATGAAAACTTGCTGAACCTTGAAATTTTCCTATGAATGAATGAATGTTTTTGTGATAGTAGTGTTGTTATAAACGAATTTATTGCCAGCGTACACACACACACACCGAGATATTTATTGCATATATTATGTAGAATTTCATTTTGATGCACTCATCAAAATTTGCTTGAAAAAACAAAGCAAATTTTCGAAATTACAAACAATAATAATTTTTATGATAATAAATGGAATAATAAATGTGCGTGTAATCAAATATATTGAAATTAATTTTAATCGTTATATGTACATAGGCAAGCATATATGATTTAATTAAGTGCCCTGAAGCAGTTTTTATATCATTCCGGCCACTTGCTACTCTGCGAGGGCATCCGTAAGCTAAATTTTTGAAATCAGATAAGATGAGAGGTGACAGAGACACGAGCATATTAATATGTCGCCATTGGAACTATTCATGTTACATGCTTGTATGTATTTCAATCATTTTATCACACTTCAAAAAGCCACTTGTTGAGGAAAATTGGAACAAAATCTACCACTTTTTCCCATCATTCCGGCAAAATGGCGATACCGCATCGAAAGTACGACATTGCTTTGACAGCTATCCAATCATCGACCAATTTTCGCATTTCTTCAATATTGAAGAAACAAAAAACAAACAATTCATTGTTATTACCCAACGGATATTATTGTCATAGAAACTTTTTATAACTCTTCGCCATATTTGCAAATACTTGAGAAGTTTATGGTAGACGCAATAAATACTTAAATAGTAATTCGGTAAAAGCATTTTAAATTTAGAATTCAATTTTTATACCCTACACCACTTTTAATACAAAAGAATGTTAAGTTTGTGCGTATGTAAGCAACATTCAGAAGGACCTGGGATATACCCACACCCACTTTTTATTACACCGATCGATTCAGAAAGTGATTCTGAGCTTTTAAGTTTATCTGTCCGTCCATTCATCTGCCGGTCTTGTTTCTTTGCGGTCAAAACTGGTTAGTCTATCTGTCTGTTTTGTTTTCTTGTATTCAACCTACAGGTGGCAATTTTCAAATTAATTTGATGAAATTTCGTATTGAATGGTTCGGACCTTATCACTTTTTCGATCACTTTCCATATACGGCTAAATTTTGCAAAGTCGTTGTATGAATAACTGCGTTAAGCGAAACGGTGTAGGGTATTTAGTGATGGTCAGCATTTCACTAAAGTGTTTTCAATTGTTTCCTGGATCAATTTTGAATACAATCAAAGTCGTCTTCAGTTTCTTCTCTAATTATTAAATAATTTTTTTGAAAAATTCAAAACTTAAAGGATTTCCGTTTTTACATCGATACATATATAATAGATGGATTCAGGTAATAGAACGACAAGACTTACTTTGCCTTGTAATGCAATTTATGTTATTATGGAATACCATTATTACTTAAAGGAAGATAAATATTTGAAGCACATCTGTACTCGGTATGATTAAATTATCGAATGGCCCTGCATCCGTCCGACTAGCTTAAAAAAGTGCCCAGTAATAAATATCCAGCTTGATAATCAACTATTTAATGCAACAGAATATGAATTCTAATCAATTTGATTTTCTTTCATAAAATCGCGTTTACTGAGGCTTCAACCTTAAGTAGCGAAAAATTGAATCGAGTAACCTTTTAATTCTTCATTTCTAGCAGAAGTAGTGACATTCAAAATAATTTGTAGTAAACAGCTTCGAATCAGACTGCATTGTTCATGATGATTGCTTAGGTAGAATGTTACTACATACAAACAGACATAGGCAAACTAAATGCATATCGCAAATATTGTGATAAGTGAGTGAATCTCTCTCTCTCTCTCAATTTATGCAAAATCCAAGTATCGAACGGTTTTAAGTGATTGTCAATTGTTTTTGATTCATTTGCAATCTTTGTATTCTCCCGAGTAGATATTTGATGATGGCATTCAATGATGATGGCTTGCTTCCATTTAGCGATTATAAACTATAGTTTGAGTAGTTAACCAAAGCTTTAACAGCTAGCCGTCATTGTATGCAATAACTTAAGAACAGAAATTTTTAAATCATTTTTAACACAAGCACTTTATTATGCAATCAATACCAAGCACTTAATGCTTTTTTCATCTTTTCTTCGGGATCTTTTAAAGTTTTCTTATCCTTATGGAAGCAAAAAAAAAAAAAAAAAAAACGAAAAGGAAAATATATGAAACACGTTTATATCTTTAAGCAAAGTTATTCATCACGCATTGCTTGTAAACGAACATGAATGTGATTGATATCAAATCAAAGAAGCGTAAAGAGAATTTGCTTAAAATCTTTATACTGTTATATAAGTATGAACTCCTTTCCTCATTAACCACTGACCCTCGTATAATTCTTCGTCAAACGACTTTCAATAAAAGCTTATATTATTTTTTTTTTTTGCAGAAATATTAAATTAACGAGCACTTGAAAGGCCTGCTAAAAGCGTCATCATAAAAAAGCATAAATAAATAAAATAAATATAAAATAGAGAAGAGTAATGATTTAATGGATAAAAATATGTTCATCAACAGAGCATGAATCAATTTAACCATTGCGTTTTTTACACGCGAATAGCTTAGCTTATGGATAAGCATAAATTAAGTAAACCGAAAAGTTCGCTGAGTATGCACTGATTGTAGTTTGCAGTTAACCCACATGTCGCCGGGCTCCTGGGTCATTAAGCATACACATGCCCACAGAGACCAATCAATAGAATGAATTAGAATAATAACCTCAAGTTATAATATAAGTAACCAGTAGGTTGAACTTGGGAAATTCAATGATTTTTCAATTTTTTGGAAAGCTTTCGTTGCAGCGTTCTAAGTCCTTAGTATAGAAAAACCTTTAACCTTTCCCTTACCATGTCAGGCTAACATTCAAACCAATGCCCGCTTGCCGTTTATCGGTAAGGCTGAAGAAAATCCTGCTCCTAATAGATCTTAGGTATGCGTGAAACAAAATTCTTAATATAATAGCACATTCACACACATTAATGGAATTTTTATCTTCCGAAGAGGCATAAATCAACGTAAACTACTCACGAAGCTTACTAACTCGCTATAACAACAAAAACAAAGAGATCGAAATTCTCAATCTTTCCTATAAATAAAGTCAGATTTTTGTAATTACTTATCTACTACAAGCGGAATAGTGACGCGTACGAGTCGCCCCTAACAGTAACAGATATTCAACGACTTAAATAGCTTTCTTTTATCTAAGTTTTGTTCAATTTTCATAGAATCGTTTTGCCTGCTTTTAAATAACTTACCGAAAATAAACACCTGGTGTACGTTGATCAATATCGGTGGCATATATACGACCCACACGGCATTTCGAAAAGAATATACCAATGAACGAGGGATCATTCTTTTTCGGCCAATCTTTAATGGGAAACACCAAGGGATACGTATAATATTCAGGTGGATCAGAGAATTCCAGATAACCATTTAAAGATACCTGGCAAATAATGAATGAAAACCAAAAAAAAAAATAAAAACCAAATTATAATTATTTTTGCATTTTTATTGATTTTTACATGCGCTCTCATTAACTTACCCTCGTGTAATTGAAACGAAAACCGAAAAAAGGCAATTGAAAATTTAAGTTTTTATGTATTTGCGTTGTTGAAACGTGAATATCGTATTGATAATCACCACGTCCTTCATACATATCCTGATCGAAAAACCAATACATAAAATAAGAACGTATTTCCGCCAAACGTTGCGGTGTTATTACATAACCGCCCAAAGCATGTGTAGGTGTATCGGGTGGAGCAATACGATTATTAGGATCTATTAAATAAAAGATATAAGCAAAAAAAAAAAAAATATATATCTCATAATGTAAGCAAATACTAATTTTATGCTTCTATTAACCAATAAAAAAAACATTTATTTTGAATTATTAAATATTTTCAAATTTTATTCTTTTAATCTTTAAACTTTGTACACATTTAATATAAAGTTATGCTATCAGATATAGTCTTTTGTCAAAATTTATGTTGAAATATTTAACATTTCATGGAAATAAGTCGCTCATATTCCGCAATACGTAATCTGACCGGTTTAACCGAATTCAAGATTCTCGCTTCGGTATGTTCTCGCGGTTTTATACCATTGCATGATGATGCTGATGATGGCATAAATGCATTTTGACGCATATAACATAATTGGGAATTTTTCCCACCGTTAGGGTGAGAAGATCTGTTCGCCTCTTCCGTTAAATTTTGTATTTTTTTCGCCAAGGCTTTAATTGTTGATTTCTGCTTATCATTGCTATTATCCATATTCGTAGTAGTAGAGCATATTTTTGATGTATTGGTGGCTAAATGATTCGATTTTTGATATAATGGGTTTTCAAATTGCGTTGTTTTTTGCAATTTATTTACCGTTGATTGTTTAATAAACTTTGATTTAATATCTTTGTAGTTATTAGTGAGCTTATTGAAAAAATTGATACGTTCTTTAATTGGTTGTATATCTGTAGCAACTGTACCTATGTCCTTTCCATTCTTTGAATGGTTCATACTACCGCATTTCTCTTTATCGTCGACGAAATCAAAATTGTTGTCATCATTAATCGTCCACTTCATCCGTTTAACGGAGTTTGCATTTTGCGGTTTTTGTTTAATTCTCTCGTCGTTTCTATCGTTAGCCTTGTAATTCAACTCAATCGTATTCTGCGAAATTACAAATGTTGCATTGTTCACTTCACCACCACTGGCCGATTTCATTTTATCTACAAAATCATTTTGCAATTTTAATGGTGCACATGTCGCTAAGGATAGCTGCTGATAGCAAATTTTGTTGCTCTTTGACACTTCATAATAATTAGCTCGATTTTTTACTTCATCATCATCTTGTTTACTGCGAGTTGTTTCCTGGTCTTCATGCGTTAGCTCATTTGTTTCATCTGAAGCCGAACTACGTTTTGACATTTCTAGGATTTTTTCGCGAAGTTCGGAGGACAATTGTCTGTGTGTAGTATGCAATTGTGGACGTAGTTGCATGTACGGATTATTTGAAGACAAACATTTCGGTGCTTCTTTGGCGATATTGAAAAAATTATTTTTAACGCAGTTACCAAAAAATCTATGCAGCGACTTGCCATTGCTATTAGCAGTTTTAGGTGTTGAAGCTAATAGAGGCGTTGTATCATCATTTAGATCGGAGCCCATTGCCATGTTAATACCATCATCACAATCCCCATCATCAACAGCTTTGGTAGATTTATTTGCCGTTTTGCACTTTGACACTTTGTGAGAAAATAAATACTTATCGAAGGCACTCATTTTTTATTTATATATATTTCTATGAATTTATTCTTTTCTTGCTCCGATTATATCAATGTCTGTTCACCTTGTCTTTACACTTGGTAATGCTTAAGAGGTGTCTTGACTTCTTCTATATATACGCAGATAAAGGTGAAAGCCATTTTACCTGAAAGTAGATCCTTAGATCCTTTAATTTTTAGAAAACCTCAGGATAAAGAAAATAATTTCAACTAAAATACAGTGACAGGTAAGTAATTTTTCACATAAGTTATAAATACTTTTATATATATTTGTAATAATTTCTACCTAATTATAGCAGCAATCGATTATCTACTTAAACGAGTTTACTAATTACCTTTCTATAATAAAGCTTGCAGTTTTGTTATGTTGAGGACATTACTGCAAATAAATAATAATGTTTACCAATATTTTCATATCCTACGCCACTTGTCACACGAAGATCTATTAAGTTTTTCCGGATATATGTAAGATCTCAAAGAACTTGATATATTGATCCATTCTTTAGTAACTCGAATCGAATCATTTGCTAACTTATACTTATCTGTCCGTCTGTCACAACTCATAATGCAACTCATGATGTTTTTTAGACAAAATATATCATGCGATCTTAAATGGGTTTTCGGATCATAAGAAGCGAAAGCAAAATCCTTGCGTGTGCTTGTAATACGCATATCTTTTTCTTATAAAATTAATAGAAATGCATTAAGAACTTTGTTCTTTTGCATTCTACTTTGTTTTATATGTATTCTCTGCTCTTTTCTTTTAATAGAACGTAAGAAATCCTTTTGCTTAAGAGAAACAAGCTTATGATAGAGAATACCTTCTAAATGGGGTTTTCCATGAAAAGACTCGAGTTATTCTTCAATTGCAAATATTTTCAGTTACCTGTTTTGATTTTCCGAAAACAATGCAATGAAACATCTTTATAGGCAGATCAAAAGACCTTTAATCCTTTAAAGTAATTGCATGGATAACTTAGAAAGATGTTGCGTTTGTTGTGAAAAGTTTGCTTAAGAAATTTTGTTAATTTCTTGTAATCTCTTCAACAAGTTTTTACAAATTTTCCGTAAAAAGGATGTGAAAGGATAGAAAATTACATCAACAATATCTTTACAATGATTGACCGAATAATCGCCTATTATTACAATCTGTGCGTATATGTGTGCGAATATGTGTTACAACTTAGTTTACTTTCAAATCACGTATCAAAAATCTTTGTCAGCAGGAGAAAACATTATTTCATCAAGCAGCATTACAAAAGAGAAAAAAAAACAAACCGCTCTATACAATATATTAAATTCGTTCAGATGTGTGTAGCGCCCAGAAGGACTTGAGACAAACTTGTCTATTTTTTGTATATCAAACAATTCAGAATTATTTTCTGAAACAAATTCTTGTATTTTAACAAGACTTAATCGGATCCGAATGAGCCCATTTTTTGAATTTCCTTTCCAAGAAGTAATTTAGCCAACTCGATTCTTAAAAATTTTACAAGAAAATTAGTACAAAGTATATTTATTATGGTAAGTTTGAAAGTGTATTTAAATCTATTCGTGAAACACTCTCCACATAAGTGGTCTTTTAAAAAGGAAGGTTTGATACAACAATGGTAAATTTTTGACAAAGCGATGTACGGTATTTAATAGTCGGTCTTGTTTCAACTTATTTTCAAATTAAACGCACACATTAACACAAACCTATTTTTTTTTTTTTTTTATTTTTGGCAAATTTTGTTATGTATGGCGGCGTTACGTGGGGAACTGGTCGTAAAAGCGATCCGATCTGATACATTTTCAAAAATCTCCGCCTTTGACTTAAATTTCGATAAAATGCGTCAACAATTGCGAACCGTAGGTTGAGCAAAACACCATACGAGCAGATAAACAGACTCACAGACAGATATGCAAACTTAAATCGATCCAAAAAATAATTCTGAATAGAGTTCAGCTTAAATCTTTTTGGGTTACACATTCATCCGCATGAACTTAGTAAATCCTACATTATAAGTAGCGTAAGATAAAAATTATTTCAAAAAAAAAAAAATTATCAATTATCAATTATTTTATGTAATTGTTTTAGATAATCATTTTAGATAATATGCCATTTAACTCAAATGTCGGAAATGGGATCTGGTGCAGCTCAAATTCGAATCACAAATTATTGGAAAGTTAACTGAGTACATAAGCAGAAAAAGTTGAAAAAGCTTACCGTTAGTCACATTTCTACACTATGTCTACAAGCTTGCATCCAATTGCTACAAGAAATGATTTTTTAGATAACCTACTCTTAGATTCATTTCAAATTCAGTTGACTGAAAAAGTTCTCCCATGTAGTCATATGGGAAGATGACGACATTTGATCTATTTTTGCATCGAATTGTTGCACGGTCGTAACGTAAAAATCTATCTATGGATGCGTGTTCTATACTTGAAAGGCGGTTATGGATCGTGATACATTCTTAAATTCACATTAGATTTTCGGCAATTTAAAGCATTCTTGCGAGCGTGCCGTGCATCATTTTTAAATTAGATCTGCGGAATTTGAATTTTTTTCCAACCAACACTGCTGATATGCTTGTCTTATCGTGCATTTTACGCGCATCCGTAAGCAATCGTACTATGAAAAAACTATGACATCTAAATGTTAAGATAAAATAATAAAGTTCCTGCATACACCTCTCTCTCCATGTCTTTTTGATAGATAAGTTTAGCTAAATTTATTCTACACATCAGAAACTTATGCTATATGTTCTTAAATATCATAATAAAAAATTTTTTTCATTATATCTTCTTTTTTTTTTTGTGTTATATCTTTCATACAATGACAAATTCTTCCACTTCATTAAAGATCTATATAGTAATACACACAGACGCATGAACATATGTATACATATGTATACATGTATATATTTATTACAAACACATGCATATATATTTATACATTCATATATATATATATATATAACAAACACACATACACACACATACATACATACATACAGAGCAAACCACATGTGCCTTATAATGTCTTCTTTAATTCAGCCAAGTTATTTTAATAAATGTTAGTAATTTCGTTATCTTATCAGAAACAAGTATTAAACAGTAAATAAACAAAATTGTTATAGTACATGATAACTGCAAATGACCGATTTGGTATGAGTAATACAACATAACTGATTCATAAGTAAAAGAGAATTTTTGTGAAAACGTTAATGCATTCTAACCTAATTTATGAAATTTCTTTCATACAGATAACCTGTCCTCTTACCCCAATTGTAATTGTTATCAATGTTGAAATCGTAACCTAATTCGCCCAAATAATCGCTATTATATAGAATTAAAGATCCACTACGCTGCTGCTGCTGTTGTTGCTGTTGTTGTTGCTGCTGTTGCTTGTCAATTGTAACATTTGCTGAAACAATTCTGTTCACCGAATTTTCTTTCCAAGTTTTTGCTTTTTCTTGCTTTGTCTTATCATTTAAAACATCTGCAAACACCTCAAACAATTCAGCAACATTACTAGTTTTATGTTTTGTACTATCTCTTCTTATAACTGTACTGTTATCACTTTCCATTTCGTTTGAAAACACAAATACTACACAACTACCAGCTAATATGCTGACTAGAAATAAATTTAAACGCATTGTGTAAACGTTTTTTCCTTTATATAAACTTTTTTATACTGAGATGTTGTTTTTTGCTTATGTTCACTTTATTGAATGAATATTCATAATATTTATTAATCACTTGTTATTAGTTATTTAAACAATCAATCCTTTTTATCAATGAGGGAAAAAAAAAATGTTGTTTTTTTTTTCTATTCACTTTATTTGTTTTATTTCATAAATTCGTTGAATACAAGTTTACGTTTAAAATATAACTGAATTTGTGTTCAAGTTAATAACGGCCACCTGTCGTTTTGGAAAAATTCTTATTTTTCCATATCTTATCTTCCGTAGCTCCGACGAAAGCACTAAGATAATGCTATAAAAGCTTTTTAAATAATTTGCTTAATTATTTTTATTCGCTCCATTTTAAAGCAATTTTGAGATTGCGATCACTGGCGGCCTGGTCGTGTTCAAAAAAAAAAATTAGCAATGCAATACAATAAGACAATGCGCACAATTACTAAATACAAAAAGGAAAAAGAAAATGTATTTTCATCTTCAGGGATATGAAATGGATTACGACGAATGGTAAAGGAAAGCATACTTTTTCGATTTTTTTTTTTTTTTTTTTTTTTTAATATAATAAAAGGATTTTTTTTTTGAAATATTTTGAAAAATTTTCATTAGGCAATTTGGAAAATTCAACCGTAGAGTGATCCCTTAGAAAAAATAATCGCCTATAAACGCCTATGTTACAAAAACGGTGAATACATTTGCTTTCCGTATTTTTTGCTTATTACTCATAAAACATAACAGATAAACATTATAAACTTTTCTTATATGTATTTTTCTTTTTTTATAATCACGGTGATGGCTAAAAAAAAATTCATTCACGACGGGATATAATTACCTAAATTGTTTTTTCTTACTTTTTTTTTATTATGTAACGCATGAGGCATTGACCACAATGATTGCATTTGCATCAAATCAAAATATGATCTATTTACATGTGTTCATACGCAGTTGAACATGCAGCTTGCATAACATTGTTGGAGTAAAAGTCATACAAAAAAATATTGCGCATAATGCACGACACAAATGCGTTCATTGTGTTCAGCGTTTGATTTCGCTTTTATTTAAACATGTCTTCTCATTATTTTCGTTCAATTTTTTTAATCATTTTGTGCATTTAATGCCGTTGTTTCAATGCCACTCATTTAGCAATGACGCGAACAAGTGTAAAGATAATCTAATCCGTCTAGCAAAGACAAAAATATGCATTACGCACAGTGGGCTAAACTTCACAAGACGACAATAAAATATTTTTCATTTCTATTTCAATTCATTTTCTAAATGTTTCAAGAGTACAATGAGAACTTCGACAAAACACTTTTTCTAATCTCTTTACAAATTCAATTCAATTTTTCTTATCAATTGCGATATAGTGAGCAAATGTCGAATAGTTTTTTGTCTTATAATAAAATAAATGAGTAAAAATGTTGCATTCAGTTTACTTATAGCTCTTCACGGATACGGTAAATTTTTAATGAAAACGGCATTATTCGTTGTGTTATTTTATAGTACGTTGTAAGATAAGAGAACTATATATATATATATATATCAATCAAGTGATCTACATAATGCTACGTCATATTTATCGTATAAAAATATCTGCAACTTTATTGCATTCTACTGTTCTGCGGCGTACTTATCATAGTGAAAAGGGTGTTTTTGGTTATCGCCCAAGACCGAAACGCCAATTCAAAGGTATCATATCACCAAAAAAAAAAAAAAAAAAAAAAAAACTAGTTTATATGAATTTTTATTGAATTGAAAGTGTTGTCAACTCGTGAATAATCTTTGTAATCTTTGTACATGTGTGTGTGCTCTCAATGCAAATCCATAATAATGATAACATCTTTTACTATTGTGCGATAAGTTGCAGTTTATTAGTTAGTATGTCGTGTGTTATTATCTGTATATTGGAATTGCATTTTATGAATAACTTTGCTTCCGCAAACAAATGAAACAAAAGCTGTTTTGTACATTTTGTTGTTAATCAAATGTACCATAAATTCTTTTTTTTTTTTTGTTGTTTTTTTTTTTCTCTTTGTGCTTTAAACTGCAATGGTTGTGTATGTCTTTCATTTTTTTTTTTTTCTCTTTTATTATTTGTTTCTTAATTTATGCTCTTTCCAATAACTATAACTATATATGATTGAGAGATAACTATAATAAATACAAGTGGCATTAATATTATTTACAATATTTTTGTAATTAAAATAAAACTTGATACGCGATTTTGATTACGTTGCCATACGCCAACGCAGTAAAGTAATGCGGAAGGGTAAAAACGCCTTACGAAGAGACCGGCTTTTACATTATAATACATTTTATGTTAATTATTCTCTTATCGGCATTGAAGTGGTGAGCTTATTGCATATGAAAGGAATAAATAAATAAATCTTTTAACAAAATTCAAATCAATCTAAGTGACGTTTATTATTATTATGTAAATATTATACATCGCATAGAACGCACACATATGTATGTATGATTAAAGGCTTGTCGCTTCGCTATCATTATCAAAATGAAAATCTAACCCAATGTCAGTCCTGTTTCTCTCACGCTGCTCACTGCTTCATACCTTGCATATGCATTGAATAACAACATAAACAAAGTTCTTTCAAAATTCTCAAAAAAATCAAAATTCGAACAAATATTTGTAGGATTTAGAGATTGTTTATAATACGTGGATATATATACATATTCGAGATATTTATAAAAACAATAGATGTGTAATACCTGTTCGGAGAATCACACCAAATAGAGCAAATAATTCCAATGCAAAGAAAAGTAAGTTTACAATACAATCGAAAGACAAACAAAACAAGAACAAAACAAATAAAAGGCTAAACAGTGACTGTGTGTTTGGTTTAAAACGAAGTTTTTGCTACCTGCCTACCTATATGCCGTTACTTTTTATAAGAAAAAAGGGTAATGTACATGACAGGTATATAGATAAGAAAGAAGAATTTTTAATAGATGGCCCGAAACCCACATGCAAAGGATATGTATGTATGTGTGTAAAGTTTTTGGACGCCATACTTTATATGAAATATTTTTTATCATTTCCGTGTATTCATGCCATACACCGTTTGAGGTGTAGGTTATATTAAGTTTGCGCGGACATAAAATGCATTCAACTTCACCCACTTGTTCTGAATGCTTGTCTGTCCGTCTGTCTGTAGGATAGTCGATCAAAATTATCCATCGTTTGAAATATGAAAAAACGGATTCAGAATTTTTCTCGATCTAATGACATACTGTTTAAATTTAAGTAACACCGCCCTAGAAAAGGAGCATTGAGAGTAAGTTGAATGCAAAAAATTCGCTAAACGTTTGAATTCCACATAATCTGAAGCAAAAACATCTACACAATCCAACCTATATAAATTTCTGGTGAAACTTAACTTTTTCAACTTTTGAGTAATGGAAGACATCAGATCGTGTTTAACAGTGTACCGCAAAAGTTGCTCGGGCTACGATGAAAATGCTGTAGAGTAAATCGATTTTTATTTATTCTGTAGGATTAACAGAGATTCAAAGACTGCTACAGATATGCGATAGACAAAAGTAATTACTGCTAAGTAATCGCTTCACGTAAATGCGCCAACATACATATGACAGCGGCGCGATTAGGGTTTACCGACGAAATGAAGATGGTCGGGCATTAATAGATGCAACATACGATTGGCCGGACACTATTATAGCATTATTTTCTTTGTCATCTACGGAGTATTCCTCGCGGGAAGAAGATTTTACCTGTAATCACGCAAAGGTCAAGATAGTAATGGAAAATTGGCAGAGAATTTTCGACAATGCATAGCTTTATAGACGTCTCATGTATTCGCAAATTGTAAAATTCAACAGTGATTTTTAGAAAGAGAAAAGTTTGATGATTTTTCTCGAAAAGTTTCCTCCGCCTTCAATAATATTAAAAGAAAAAGAAGAAAAACAACTACAACGAGCAGGTGTGAGTAAATCATAAACATTGAGAAGAAAGTAGACGTGCCGATGGATGTGCACCGGCAAGAATGTATTGATTTTTGGCCAATTTTTGTTTTATATTTTTTAAAATAGCAAATGATAGGGTATATGCAATATGATAGGGTATATACCCATACTAATGTATATTCCGTGTCATATTCAACACGAGATGTCCTTAAGTAATAGTACCTATGTCACATGGTGTATTAAAGACAAAATTATTTGTTCTCGAATTTATTTTTGATAAAAAAAAAGTTTAAGACAAATATTCACATCGTCATCTTAGATAAGGTACTAACCGGAATCGGTTTATGTGTTTTAATAAACAATTATACTACGATGTGCCTAATAAGCTTGTAGTCAAATAAGAATAATATATCTTGGGTGGGAAGCAACCAATCAAGCCAAAATATGGAACAGAGGCGGCTTGAAGAGCTGTGCATAACATTTCAGAACACCAACCGTAGTATCATATTTCATAGTTCCTTCAGAGTCGTAAACTGAACCAAAATTTCTACAGAGCTCTTTTAAAAGATTTTTTTTTTTTTTTTTTGGTTATTGTTGTGTTTTATAATTATTTAATCATTTATTTGTATGTAATGCGCTTTTTAAAGTAAAGGCTCAAAATTGTTAGACACATTCAAATTTATATGAATTACGTTAATTGAATTGAAACATATATATGCCTGTAAAGTATATATTTTCACTTTCATTTGATAAAAATATTGTAAATATTTATTCATTTACAACTCATTTCACCAACATCTACCTATGATTCCTATACATACTTTCTTCTTACGTTCTTTTACTTAACTTAACTGTCATAGTATCCGAAGAAGTACTGCAATCAAGAAATGCTCAAAGTAATGTATATCGTTGGGTGGAAGCGTACCGCAAGCATGGACATAAATTTGCAAATGTAAATCCCATCAGCATAAAAGGACCACAAAGGTAATAAAAACTTTAAACAAAAACTTTTTTATATAACGCTCACGACCAACATTTATATGAATGTGTGTATGAATGTGGTAAGCAATCGCTGCAGGCAATACATATACACAAATTGTCACAACAACAA